AAAAAAAAAAAAAAAAAAAAACCATTCCCCCCTTCCCTCTGCCTCCCTCCCTTCCCCTCGTCCAATCTCTCCCTTTTGGCTTGGGCAGACTCAGCTGGAGGACAGAAACACTCCCAGGCTGCTGGGCTGGAGCTGAGGGGCCATGAGGAAGGTGGGCTGGTGGCAGGGGCACTCACCGAGTGAGGGAACTGACAGGGCTGCTCTGTAGCACCAGTGACACTTGGCAGCTGCATTCGCCAACCTGGTTCCTGAAGAATTCAAGGGACAACAGAGATCGAAAGGCTTCCTGGGCAAAGGGCCTGATTACCCAGGGCTGTGAAGGGTACAAGGCAAGTATGGACTTGGTCAAAGGCTTGCCTGGCCACCAGGGAGAATGGAGAACGGAGGCCTCAGGCTTAGCTGTGATATCCACTCCAGGCTTAGATTTAGGGCTGGACTCCCTAAACATGAAGTTACCCTTCATGCCCCAGCTCTTATTTAAAAAGAAGACAAGAAAAAATCTCTTGGCAGCAAGTAAGATGGGCATCTAGAAGTGAGAATGCTTTTCTAAAAGCAGATTATACAATACAATAACTTAATCAACAGAAGAATAAAGCTTAAAGTGAAAACTGCCCCAGTCCATCAGCCAGTGCACTGGGACAAGAACTTTGTGTTCAAAGCCTAAGAAGTGTCTCCCTACATAGTGGCCCTTTCTCTTCTTTCCTCAGCTGAGTGCGGGTGAGGGGGTTCCTGTTCTTCACTTCCACAAAAAGGCCGAGCCTCTCCAGTGTGGTGCGCAGCTGAGGCCCTTTGCTCGGGGAAGGAGCCGAAGCACGCAAGGCCGCCATCTGCTGGTGTTTCTGAGCTCTGTCTGGCAACGGGGTCTGCTTATGTTGGGGGAAGGAGGTAGCCAGGTCCAAGAGCCAAGAGGCCCCTGTGATCCTAAGGACTGTGTTTTACACACACCCTGTGACTTCCACATCTTTGTTTTTCTTGTTCCCTACAACATGCCCATTAAAGAGAGGAGGCTTGGGGGTTTACATTAGGCGGCGCTGGGACTCTCAGGGTCCTCCTTAGTCCCCTGTATGTGCCCACTTCATTAGCCAAGTAAAACTTGGACTCCACAGCAAATACGCCAAGCTCCATGACAGCTCCCACACCTAATAATCTCATTTCATCTTGTGGCCTATCAGGTCGGAGTCAGTATTGCTTTTGCAGGTAAGAAAGCACAGGCCTATAAAGGTTAAGCAGCAAGCCGCCTAAACTAGCAGAGCTAACTAGTGGGGAGTGGGGTTGGGACCTGCATGAATCTAAGGCGTGTAACTTGTACACTCAACCTACACTGTTCAGTACAAATCTGATCTGGGATAGGTGTGTGAATGTGCATGTCAATGTGCGTGTGTACACATCAAGCACACACATGGGTACATGCACATGTATGACCAGGGGGTCCGCCTGCTCCCAAAGGTCCAAGTTCAGGAACATGTGCACATGTGTGGGTCCTGCCCAGGGACAGATGTCTGTGCCTGTGCCACATACACTGTGCTGATGTGGGTGGGCACCTCCTTCCCCATGGAAGACACTGGCAGCCCATGTCTGATTCTCAGGGGTCTGGGACCCATGTGAAATGAGGAGAGGTTGATCTTTCCTACCCTCTAACCCTTCTCCTATCAGGTCCCTCTCTTGGTGACACATCGCCCTGGGCTATGCCAATACAGGTGCCTTCCTGGTGACCTAAGGTAACCTCTTGTGACTTTAGCTCTTCCCTGCCACTCTCCCCAACCTGTACCCTCTTGAAGGCTCAGGCTTGTAGAGGGCACCAATTTAGGGAGCGTTGGGGAGAACAATAAGGCCCAGGGAGCTCCTTGCTCAACAAAGAGCCTCATCATGCCAGGCCATGTGGTACATCCTGAGCTCTCAACACCCAGAATGGCTTCAGGGCTAAGGTGACTTGTAGAACCACCAGGCTAGGGCCTATTGGAAGTGAAGCTCAGCCCCCTGCCATCCTGCTCCTTGGGCTGCTGGCTAGTGTTAAGCCATTCTTTTTTCGCTGTTCTTCCAAGTACAGTGCTATAGAGCCCAGGGTTGGCATGGAGCAGGAAGCCAACGTGCCCCAGGGCTGTGTTTAGGGGGCTGCCCTTTTCAACACGGCCTTAGTCCAGTTTCCTCCTGTCATAAGGAGAACACAGCCCAGATACAGAAATCAGGACAGATGCTGACCAGATGGCCCCACTTTACACTGTCCACACCTTGTAAGGCTCTGAATTGGGGGAAGCCCTGTCCATGGGCTCTGTCTCCCCTGGTGATGCAAGTAAAGGGCTTCCCCTATGCCACAATCTGCTGCCAAGGTGAGGAACCCTGACACAGAGAAACTCCTCGAGGCCTCCTGTTCAATCCACCTGAGGCTTCCCGCTGAGGACCAAGAACTGGAAGACCAACACTAGTTGCCAGGTAACTGTTACTACAGACATAAATGTAAGTCTCCATTTAAAGCAAACAGGCTTAGGTGGTGATAGGGAAAACTTTAATAGCAAAGACTTAGGAAATGTCATAATGTAAGATAATTCCTGCCCCTCACTTTGCTTAGCTCAGAATTAACCAGTACTGGAGACACCTGGTCTCTCACTAAAATTTGTAAGTGAAAAAACCATTGTTAGCTTTGGTTAACTAAACCTGCTCCCTTCCCACTGGCTAGAGTAGATCACTGAATAAATCTTAAAGATAACTTCCCTAAGAAAGAACTGCACCCGGGTTGAAATTGAACTGCCTTGCTATCATGTTTTGGGTATCTGTGAAAATGCAGTGTAAACAACTGAATAAGGTCAAAGCTGTAAAAGCCTATGAAAGGAGGAGTTGTAACCCAATGAGGGAGTCAATCAGGGCACAGCCGTTAGGTGTGATCCATCCCCATCGATGGAGATTTTACTTCCATTCTGCTGCCTCTGTGTGTCACTTGCCAATTCCTTCAGTAACATTTGGTGTGTTGGCTGGGAAGGAAGGAGATAACAGACATGGCCCATGTCAGGCACTTGTGCTTAAAGATCCCTCCCTAAGTGGTGGAGCTTGTGTGTGGCCTGTCCCTGCGAGTCTGTGGCCAGCATCTAATATGAGCAAAATGTAACACTAATGTGACAGTGTTTCTTCAGCTCGGACACGCCTTAAACTGGGATCGAGAGACCCGACGGCTGGGATTGGAGAATGTGAGCGATACCCACCCTTTGTTTGTCCAGTGACACCAGGCAAGGGAATATCTAGGGGTCACAGAAAATGCAAATACTAAACCAACTGTTCTTGAGTACATGATTCAGAATTTTGATAGCTTTGTGGAGGACTATGTGGTAAAATTAAGCCCAAAGATGCTCAGAAAACTTTGTGAGTCTCAGCTTAGCCAGGCTTGCCCCCAGAAAGAACTCTAGACAAAAGAAAAGTTATCTCCTTTTGTTTTTACCTGAGACTTTGACAACTTGGAGCCTCGTGTGCTCTAGGAGCTGCTCAAGCTTCTGTTCCACGGCAATCAGCTGCTAATGACAACTATTTGGTTTTGGTCTTAGAACAACTGCTTGCCAAATCTGCCATTTTTCCCATGGTGAACTTGCCTCTCTCAGAAAATGTGACATGGTTGCAGGCAAATCCCAGTATTTCCCCTTTGGAGGAGGTCGAACTGCCTCCCCTCCACTTGAGTTGCTAAGATCAAAGGTGTGAAGGAAGTGGGGGCAAAATAGAATTGTTTAGCTTTATTGCATTGGAAGGTGCAAATGGGAGAGCATGGTGGGACTCAGAGAAAAAGGAACAGGGCTTGCATTCACATTAGAAAGAACTGAAATGAGAAAATAAATGTTTGATGGATTAAAAACAGGTAGAAAAACTCTGAAAAAATACAGTACAGAGAAAAATCACTGCAATCCAGAGAAACTGCAACTGTGTTTTACCAGACATCAAGAGATTTTTATAAGAAAAATCAAGTTAGAAATTTTAACTATTTGATAAATGTATCTTTGTTTCAACTTGAATTAAGTTTAATTGGTGTGCTTAAAACACTTCTTGAGCATTGCAAACTCTTGAATTGCGATGATAGGGTTAACTTGCTCTTTTCTGTACCTTGTTAATAAAAACTCAAGGTTAACACTGTTCTATAGGCAGCCAGTCAAATTTTAAGATGTAACAATCTGAGAACGGAAAAAAAGAGGATGCTTTAAGATTTTAACAGCTGAAGTTTGTTATAGAAGGTTAATAGTAAATGAGACAGAAGAAAATATTAGGAAAGCTATGGGTAAAAGAGATATACTTTTGATATGACAGGATTTTGTATGTTTGTCTTATTAGAAAGAGAAAAAGAAAGATATACAAAACCAGAAGTCCTAAGCGTGTAGAGAAGGTGTGTGGAAATGATTTATGTGTGTTTGCTTGTTGGTTTCAAGTTTGTTGCAGAAGGTTTACATTTACAGTCATAAAGAGCTTTCATTTCTTTTGATTCTAATTCTACAAGAGATCTGTTAATTGACCTGCAAAAGCTTTGACTAGTCTTAACCAAGAGAGATTTTATAATTCAACTGGTCAAATACATTTGAGTGCATTACAGTTTCATAAATCATTTTATATGTTTGTTTGTGTTCAATTGTTTGAAAAGTTTGTCCAATTATATTTTTGATTGAAATGACATCGAGAATTCAAATAATTCGCTAATTTCTATAACCTGATTTTATAAGTTAAAATTTTGTCAAGTTAATCAAATATAAACTCTTAAGTCTGGATAGACTCCTGTTAATGGTAAAAAGGACAGCTGCTCAGAAAAATTTATTCTGGTCTTTATTCACTAATGGGAGCCTCAATAGTTTTCATTGCCTTCTGAGAAGATATACCCCAAATAAACACGGCTAAATATATTATGTTTACATTGGTTATCAAAGGGTCGGATTCTAAATATGTTATTGTGATATATTTATAGTAGTCATTTAAAAATATGATTTCTGTGGAAAAATAGTTAAGAGGTTTTACTGAAAAATGCTTTTAATACCTAATTAGATCAAAGGGCATAAAGTTTCATACATAAAATAATGATTATTGTTAATTTTCTGATGTACTAAATAAAAAAAATACAGGGTATTAAGAGACTATTAATGCTGCTTCAAGAGGCAGGGTATAAAGTTTCATGGAAAAGGCTCAAATTTGCGTACAGCAAGTCAGATATCTAGGATTCAAAGTTTCCAAAGAAATACGCTGCTTGGGAGATAAGAGGACTCAAAAGCAGACAAGAGAATTTTTGGGGATG